AAGAAAAGAGTGGTTGTATGTATCTGTACTAATAAAATAAAAGGTTCCCATCCAGTCTTCCCAAAACAAATGCATTCAACCAAAAATACAGGCTTTTTTAACCTAATGTTTCCCACAATGAAAGGACAAGCAGGATGCACACAGCAGATCTTTTCACATACTCACCAGAGTCTTGGCTTGCTTTTCATTTTTTAGAACTCCTTTTCTAGCTATTAGTGGTGAAGAAAGTGTAGCTGCATATGCCAGAGGCAGAAAGGCGTTTCCAGAGTTCAAAATGATCATTTTGAACTTAAAGGTGTCCCAGGCATTCAAAATGGAGCCAAGAATAACACTTTCAATATGGATATAGTTAAGAGTCTGACTCCTTTTTAAAGTATGGAAGCAAGGGGAGGAAGTGTATCCAAAAATGTTCACCATTGTTCCCCAGGACAGGAGGAGGAGTTACAAAGGGCCAGCCAAGGAAGGAGAAGATGAATACATTCAAATATTTAAAGCTTTGACAACAGGCAGTAAAACTGTTGTGAGGCATGAAATTTGTCCTCCTTTTCTTTAAGGGCAGCTCAGCTTTCAGAGGTTTGGGAAATCTTCTAATAATCTTTGTGAAATCCACACCTAGCCTGGGAAATGTTGAGGCAAGCCTTTAAATCCTAACTGTGCTTCTGCATATGCTGATCTTGTCTAGGGTTTTGTTTTTCCTTCATGCACAGAAAAATGCAGGAGGTGCTGTAACAGCTTTTAATCCTTTTATTTTCACCTACTGATGTTCAATTAAACTCTGATAAAACTTAGGAAATACAATTTTGTTAAAACTATTGGTAATCTGAAGCCAATAAACAAACCATATAAACTAGTGGGTTAAAAACATCAACTGGTGACTCCTATTACTATGCCAGTGATGTTGCCCCTGTAAAAATGTGAATATGCTGAAGTAAATAATAGTAATATTAAGGGTACGTAACTCAGAACTTTTGGCAGTATGACTACATGTACTTGGAGCTATATACATGGGTTAATTTAACTTCTGGTGAAACTTCTTGCTGCTATGGATAGATGGTCTCTTTTAGTAAGGGTTTAAACCAGATAGAATGGGGGATGGTGTGAGAGCTCTGCCTTTTGGAGCAAGCTTATCTGAAGCCTGTTCAGGTTTAAAGCCTGCCACACTCTCAGGGAGAACTAGGAGGCTTGGCTGAACGTTAACCCAGCTGTTCACTTAAGAGCGCTCTTGTTTTGATTCTTTTCCTGCTAAAAGAACACTATTTCATTTAAGGCAGCCTCCGATCCCCAAACTGGGGGCAGGATGTGTCTAGAGCTCATCCAGGCTCCCAGGGTCATTCCTGGCTGTCCTGGAAGAGCTGAGGGACTGGGGGATTCATGGCAGGGGAATACAAAGGTCTTGGGGGGGACTGGGAGTGTCATAAGAGGTGGGATGGTGAGTGCATGGGTTCACATGTTAGTGTGAGCTGACACTCGGACAGGCTCTGAGGTAGGCTCCAGGACAGAGTGCTGGAGGCCTAGGGGGCAGAGGAACAGTGGAGACCATAGAGGGGATCATTGGCACTTCTCTCATTCCCAAGTATTTTTTTCTCTGCTACCTGCATTCAAACCAGAGTCCAGAAAGCCCTTGCACAGTGGGACACGCACTCTGGGATATCCGAATTTGAAAAATCCTGGCTTTGAAAGCTGTGAAGGTGGTGATGGTGCCTCACGTTTTATGTCCACTGCCTTGAAATCACCCGCTCCCATCCCGCCCAGAGCAGCCTGAGTCCTTCTGGCCCGGTGTCTGCTGGTCGGTTTCCGTGGTGGACGTAGCGCCAGAACAGGCGGTGGCTCCTCCGCACCTGGGCTGGAGCTCTTCTTGCGTCCAGGCCGGGGTAGGTCGGCCCCGGCGGCGCTGCCGCACCCTCCCTGGCGGGCCCCAGCGCCGCTCCGGCTCCCGCGGCCCTGCCAGTGGGGACCGTCCCCCTGGGCTGCGGCCAGAGTGGGTTCCCTCTCGGAAGCTCCTGCCCGCCCCAGGCGCCGCTCCTCAGCACTGGTGCCTCCTCGCTTGACAGTAGGATGTAGCGGCAGCCCATTTCTCATGGAAACGGTGCTTTGTGTAAGTGAATTGACACTTGGCCTTGATACCTGTATCTCCTGATAACTGAAACAAATTTCTAAAATAAATATTGTACTTTGATCTTCCAGCCCTGCATTTTTAATGACAGCTCTGAACATCACTTCATTAAGAATACATTTCAGGAGACTGAAATGCTCCGAGTTTGAACACTAATTATTTGTACGGAAAATTATGACTGCAACGTTTCATTATTCAGCCCATTGGTTTCTTCCAGAAATGAGAAATTATTCTCGATTTCTAAGCAGTGTGCTTTCTTGGCTGCAGATTTATGGCATTTGTAGTGTGACGTCTGTATAGAAACTTACCCAACTTTCCACTAACTCTTTTGTAACATGACAGTTCATTTGGGTTCATCGAGATAACTAGGAAATAACATACCTTAAGGACTGGGGGGAGCCGGGAGGTGTTCAGTGTCTCCTGAACTACCTATCCACTCTCATTTCGTTTATAAATATTGTTCAGATTATTCTCCCGGCAATTATTAGATAAAACGAATTAACAAACTTCGAGTTAGGAATTAAATCAGGCACCTCGTAGGAATCCCAGGTTGGCACGACTGTGGGGATGCAGAAGTTTAGGGACAAGTACGAGCATCGCCATTCCGCTTGCCTGGCGGGTTATCGCTGCTCCAGGGAGCGGAGGTGCGGGTCGGGGTCCCCGCGGAGATGTCCCACCGGCCTCCTCCTGCCCAGGTGCAGCAGGAAGGGAGCACGCCTCTGACCGGGGCGACCCCAGTGGCGTGGATGGAACTCGGCCGGGGATCCCGGGGTACCCGACGGCTGCTGGCGGGGTGGTACGCGGTGGTCCCGCTGGCGTCCGCTGCCGGCCGGGGCCCGCTAGGGTTGCCCGTCTCCTGCCATGTCCCGTCCCGTGTGGAGGCGGCGCGGTCCCCGCGCATCGCGCACCTGCGGGGCCGTGTGCAGGTGGTGGGCTCCGCGAGCAGGTAGGGACCTGCTGCCACTGCCTCGCACCCTGCTGCTGCGGCCGCGGCGAGCGCGGCCTCGGAGCATCACTGCGTGGTAAAAGAGCTGGGTGCGGAGCGCTTCTCTGCCTAGTGCCGACCTGGTGAAGCCTGGCCATGGGGAGAGCTTGAAGTGGCTGCTACGTAGGGGATCAGTGCTACACGGGATCGGGCTTTTAATTCTCCCCAGGACTCAATATGGAGCCGTGGGAGAGGACTTGGCACTTTAATCCCTTCAAAGATACCGATCTAATTCAAGCCCTACAACTCTTGAAAGTCTTTGAGCGGACAGTGATTGTTTCTACAGGAAAGCCAGATAAAGATCTCTGTGTGCTGGCGTTTAAAGAGGCTTCAGTGGCGGTGCGAATACAATTGAACCCGGCGACTGCGGGGAGGATCGAGTTACCTGGGCAAACAGCCCCGGAGCACCAGAGCCAGCCGGCATCTGCCCGGAGGGGCACCCCTCCCCACGGCAGAGCTGCACGTCCTCGCCTGGTACCTGGCCAAACGCGCCGGCTTACACATTTGCGACGGCCCCAGAGCAGATGGGGAAGCGGCGAGGAGCAGAGCGAGGAGCAGAGCGCGGTGCCGAGCGGGCCGTGGGAGCTGTGACCCAGATGTGCTTGGTGGTGCTGACTGGGGATATAGCCTCGCCGGCGGTCCGAGGAAAAGCGGGCTGGATTCTTCAGACACACACGTATGTGTCTATACACAGGCCGAAAAGTGAGGGGTGAGGGAGCAGAGCCCTCGGGCCCGAGTTTTATGGCTTTGTGTCAGGAGGTGGACCAGAGGTTGGAGACAGCAACCCGGCAATACTGTCCGTGCTCCGAGGAGCCTGAGATCCCGTTCTCGCCCTTGCCCAGGCAGGCTCGCCAGGGCCGCCGGGCACAGCCCTCCGGCCCCGCGGGCACACATTTCTCCCCCAAGAACGCTGCCAGGAGAGACTCCTGCCTTCGTTTAAAGAAATTACGTGTTTCACACCCGCCTCCCTCTAGGGAAGAGGAAACTTTCCCGTTCTGTCTGTCGGCGGCTGGTCGGCCGGTGTGTCTGCCCGCGGGGATGCTTGCTGCCGGTGGCACCCCGCCGTCCCACCTCCCAGCCTGGCCCCGCGTTACCCGGCGGGGGCTCTGGTCAGTAGCGCCGCAGAGCGACGCGAAACCAAACCCGGCGACCAGAGGAGAAACTGCGCGGGTGTTCGCGGAGTCACACCGAGGGCATATCCCCCAGCCGCGGGGAAAGGGCGGGCGCAAGGAGGGAGGGAGCGGGGAGGAACTGCTGACAATTACTCCTGGGAAGTTTTACGGCTGGGATCGACCAGCCCCGATCAGGTGAACCCGCTGTGCTCCTGTTACTTGGAGTCATTAAACACTATCAGGGTAATCCGGGGGCAGATTTCTCGGGCGATAACAAAGACACGCTGTCACTTTAGGGCTCTGCCACAAATCCTTAATTGCAAACAAAAAGAAAAAAAAAAAGGAAGAAAAAAAAAGGGGGGGGGGGTAGAGCGGGGATCCAGTGTCTTGGTGTATGGCACATCCAATGCGAGGGTCTCCAGGCGGTAAGGGGTCCTTTGATCAAGAAAATCCAATTATTTGTGTATATACATTTCCCACATAGTGATTACTTCATTAATTGTCCCGCCTTTATCTCCTCCCTTCCCATCCCCCCTAATAATCAGTTCTTTTATCCAGACCAACAAACACACCATAGGAGCTTTGTGGATTCAAAGGATTTGCTTTCGCTTCTGAAAGAGCCGCTATTCTTTGATGATTGGGTAGCGGCAAACTTCAAAGCCATAAATCTTCCCTCTGACTGGTTGGCGGCCCAGCAAAGTCCTTATCAAATTCTTGGAGGTGATCCTGGTGCAGTCAGACAGTCCGCGGAGATCGCGCAGTGCGGGGGGGTGGGACGGGCACGGAGGCGAAGAGATCAGAGGGAAGGGGAGACGGAGAGAGAGAGGGAGAAAGAAACTGGGCAGCTCCTCGTCTTCCTTTCGGTGTCCCCATGCCTCGGCTGTGCCCCGGCGCCTTCCCTTCGCCCCGGGAGCAGTAGCCATGGCTGCCGTGGCCGTCCTCCGGAACGACCCCCTCCAGGCTTTCCTCCAGGTCAGTACCCGCGCTCGGGGCCGGGCAGGCTCCACGGGTGTGACCCGCGTTGCGCAGGGACAGCGGGCGCCTGCTGCCTCCCTCCCTGGGCTTCACCCGGGGGCGGCTCGGGAGAGGTAGGCAGGGACCCGGGGGTAAGGAGCCCGGCATTTCTGGCTGGCAACTTCCCTCGCCCACCAACAGCCCGGCGGTAACTCCAGGCACCGTCCCGTGGCTGGGTGGGTCAGCGCGGCCCGGGGGCTGCCCTCTTCCCGTAGCGGCCCCTTTCCTGTCGCCCACAGTCCAGAACAGGCGGAGGGGCCGGCAGCCCTTGCCGCAGGCGGGACCGGTCTCTGGGCGGGGCGCGGGGGCCGGGCCCGTCCTGCCGGTTTGGCGCTCGCTGTTTTGGGAAAGTTTGCCAGCCGCGGGAGCTGTGGCGCGGCTCCGGCCGCCCGCGGGCAGCGGTGCGCAAAGTTTCCCGCGAGCGGCGAGGCTGCTCCCGCGGGGCGGCGGCGAGTAACGCGCTCTTCATCATCCCTCCCTCCCTCCCTCCCGCTCCCGCGCAGGACCGCACCCCCAGCGCCTCCCCAGACTTGGCCAAGCATTCGCCCCTGGCTCTTCTGGCCGCCACCTGTAGCCGGATCGGACAGCCGGGCGCAGCGCCCTCGGACTTCCTGCAGGTCTCCTACGACCCGACCCTGGGATCCCCCTCCAGGATCTTCCACCCGTGGAGCGGCGAGATGCCGGCGCACTCGCCGGGGGGACTGCCGCCGCCGCACCCCAGCCTGGGGCTGACCCCTCAGAAGAACCATCTGCAGCCCTCCTTCGGGGGCGCGCACGAACTGCCCCTCACCCCCCCGGCGGACCCCTCCTACCCGTACGAGTTCTCCCCCGTCAAGATGCTGCCCTCCTCCATGGCCGCCCTGCCCTCCAGCTGCCCCCCCGCATACGTCCCCTACGCCGCCCAGGCCGCGCTGCCTCCCGGCTACTCCAACCTGCTGCCCCCGACGCAGCCCTGCCGGCAGCTCTCTCCCAACCCGCCGCCCGAGGACATCCCCTGGTGGAGCATCCAGCAGGCCGGCGCTCCGGGCAGCTGCGGCCACCGCTTCCCCGCGGCCGCGGCGCTGCCTCGGAGCCTGGTGCTGGGCCACTCGGACTTCGCCCAGTACCAGACGCAGATCGCCGCCCTGCTGCAGACCAAGTCTCCCCTGGCGGCCACGGCCAGGAGGTGCCGCCGATGCCGCTGCCCCAACTGCCAGTCGGCCGCGGGCAGCGCCCCGGAGGCGGAGCCGGGCAAGAAGAAGCAGCACATCTGCCACATCCCCGGCTGCGGGAAGGTCTACGGCAAGACCTCGCACCTGAAGGCGCACCTGCGCTGGCACACGGGCGAGCGGCCCTTCGTCTGCAACTGGCTCTTCTGCGGGAAGAGCTTCACCCGCTCCGACGAGCTGCAGCGGCACCTGCGGACTCACACGGGCGAGAAGCGCTTCGTCTGCCCCGAGTGCGGGAAGCGCTTCATGCGCAGCGACCACCTGGCCAAGCACGTCAAGACCCACCAGAACAAGAAGCTCAAGTCGGCGGCGGACGGCGTCAAGCGGGAGGACGGCCGCGACCTGTGACCGCCGGGCGGCGGGGAGGGACCGGGCCGGGACTGCGCGGCACCTGCGGGCCAAGACGGGGCGCAGCGGGGACCCGAGCTGAGGGAGCCCCGCAGCCGGAGGCAGGGCGGGCGGCTCTCTGACTCGCGTCGGGCCCAGCGAGAGGGAGCTCGGCTGGAGGCGGAGCCGGGACCCTCAGGCCCGGGACTGGACGCTCGTAGGGCCCCGGGTCTGCCGCCGCCACGCGTCCTCGTCCCGGGACAGGCACCCTCCCCGCCCCTGAGGGCCCGGGGCGAGGCTGAGAGGAGACCGCGGCAGCCGCCTCCGTGGTCGGGGCTTGTAGGCGCCGGGGGGTGGCTCTGCAGCGCCGGCCGGGCCATACCGCGGCCCGGCCCCTCGGCTCTTTCAGGGTAAAAGACTGAAGTTTTGTGTACAGGTTATTTAATAGTTCTGTTTGAATACCGGTGTCCCTCTCCTCGTCCTCGGCCCCGTGGGGGGCTCCAGCATGAGATGTCTCTGTAAAGCGACTCGCGACTGCAGCGCGAAATAAACACGTTATCACTGGGGTCACGCAGGGGAGGTCCCGCCGCGCCGGTTTCATTCGAGCGTCCCGAGGGCCGCTCCGTGTGGCCGCGCGCTTCCCGCCACTTCCCGCTGAGGCGGCGGAGGGCCCTGAGGTGGGCGCGGGACGGGTCCGGCTCCACCGCCGCGGTGAAGCGAGGCGGAGCTCAGCGCACGGAGAGCTGTGAGCTGCTCATCGTAAAACAGCCTTAAAATCCCCTGGCTTCTTCGGACTGGTGCTGGCCCGTTGGTTTGGGGCGGTTCGGGTGGGTTGGGTTTAGTTATTGTCAGTATTTTGTTTTCTACACATGAAGGCGTGAGAGAAAAGAGGAACGTATGGTACCATGGTGCCAACACTGAGAGTGAATGTACAGGTCAAGTACTGCGGGCTGCGATATAAATGCCCCTTCTCAGAGAGAGCCAGCCCACAGGGCCTGTTACAACCAGCCATGCCCAGCTTCAAGCTGTCTGTGGCATGGCACAGCCGAAATATGCTTTCCGTGTGCTAACTTACTGTAAAATCTCAGAATTTTAGGGTAAGAAAGGCACTTGTCATCCTCCCAGTGTGAGGAAATGGTAGTCACTCCCCTGCACAGGGGAAGCTACTGGCACAAAACTGTATTTAAAAGTACTTGGTAGATGGTAATGGCTTTTCGGGTTCCTTACGTCTCAGAGGGCATCACGTAAGTATGAGTTTAGTCATACATTCATTTTGGCAAGTTTCTTTTAAAGTAATGTCCTTTTTTACTGTAGTGAGTTCCCCCCCCCCCCCCCCCCTTTTTTTTTAACTGAAATTTTTCTAGAACAAACAAATTGGGAACCTGATTAGCCATTTGCTAACTTTTGCATTTTAACATAGAGAACTTGTTGTTTGCTCCTTATTTTTGCCAAGTCAGCTTTATTTTCTGGTTGCCAAATGAGACAACCAGATAAAAACTGCCACCAAAACTTCACTGGGACTAATCTAGAACCGTTATAGCCTCAGATGGGGTCCTCTGGCGGAAGTTGCCAAACAAGCTTCAGCACAATCATAACAATACAGATGTGCTTTGCCATGGACTTCTGAAACTGGAAAAGCAGCAGCTCGATAAATGTCATGACAGAGGTGTAAAACTGACGTGTTTGTATGTATGTCAAATGCTGCCAGGAATCTATTCTCTCAGGAAATAATGAGATGAGACAATACCACTAGAACCCTCACTTCTGAAATAAGGAGAAATTAATGGACAGTTACCATGGTACAGCTCCTCAACAATATTTCCATGTTTGTGATTCTGAATTAATTTCTCACACCATATTCTTTGGGTCAACAGATTAAATTAATAACCAGGCAGCTATCCTGTTTACTAGTGAAGAATCTTCTATAACCTGTCCTGTTATAGAAAGCCTTGTGAGAAACATGTTTAGTTTCATTGGTTAGCATTATTTTGCCAAATATTTAGGCTCCAGAAGCATATTGTTGAAGGATATTAGGTAGAAGATACCTTTAATGTTCCAGAGTGAGTGACAGCAATACAAGAAATAACTAATGGATCTGATCCAGAAGTCCTTGTTCAAAAAAGTCTCTGAGACAAAAGAGCATCCTGTTTTCTACTGACATATGATTTAAATGTGTCATCAGGAATAAGGTAATGTTTCTGCTTTTTAAAATGTTTCATGGCATAGAGTGTCAACCTGCTTCCTTTCTTTGATATTAAGTTACATTAAGAATGTAGTGTTACAGAATTTAGGACTACTTTAAAAGAGGGTTTGTTTCCCTGAATAGTCTTTCAGTTCTGTTTCCACATCAGACCTGCTGAAAATTGACAGTGCTTTTATTGGTAACAATAGAAGGGAAACAACAGTATCCCAGAGTATGAAAGGTCCACTTACAGGATAGAATTATGGACTGGGATGTTGCCACACAGTAATGGCCTTTCACTGCTAAGTAAGTGCCTAATCAAGAACTATTAAGGTGAGCTGAAGCAATGAAGGTTTCTGACACAAATTTAGCTTGACTAAGAACTAGAGAACCATTACTATCAGAGCAGACATAACTATCAGAAAATAGTTTGATAATTGTAGATGTAATGGATTCTAAAATGGATCGTTATGGAAAGATTTTTCTCCAACTGGATTGACAAACTGAATTTAACCCAGCATCTGTGTTGTCTGGTACTACCAGACTATTTTGGGTTCTTACTCATTCCTCAAGACACAAATTGTACTGAAAGTTTTACTACTCATTTATGTATAAGTCTGCAAGTAATTTAGGTTTTAAGCAAAAGACCATAGCACAGGCAATGTCAGCACCATGCCAAGGGAGTGGTGGTACCTAATTAAAAAAACCCAAAACAACAGAAAAACACACACACACACAAAAAAAAAAAAACCACGAAAAAAAGCAGTGCCACGTTGTAACCTTGTACCTTGCATGATATCTCTATAATAACCACTTTTAAAGCATAGAAGTGCAGAGCTTAAAAATAGGTACAGGCAAAAGGTACTAGCAGGGAAGTGTCCCTGCCTGTGGGGGGTGGGGGGTGTGGAACAATATGGTCTTTAAGGTCCCCTCCAACCCAAAACATTCCATGATTCTATGAAAATTAGTTTAATACCTATAATGACAGAAAAATGCATATAAGTGAAGACCCATGACAGCAAATGCCAGTAAGAATCTTAATCTATGAGATTACTACAAAAAAAAAAAAAAGAAAACTAAGGATGTATGTATGACACAAGGTAAGTAAAAGTAACAGTTTAGAATGTATTAAAAATATTTAATGAAACATTATTTCTGCCTAAAGCTTTTAAATAGCTCTTTGGAAAAAGAGGACATATCCATCATAGCTGTTTCATATTCATCTCTAAATAGCTAAATCATATGATAGCTTTTCAATTGAAATCATTAAACTTTTATAGTAATATGGCATTTAAATATACATGTGACCTTTCTGGTGTATGGGTAGAGCGTTACAAAAATATATTGCTTACATCTCAAGAATTTATTTCTAGTTGGCAGATTGCACTCTATAACAAAATTAACTTTTAATTTTGCATTCACAAAATACATTTTACACTTTTAGCTGTTTCCAATCAACTAGAACAGCTGTTCATTTTATAAAATTAAATGATTAATATTCTTTTTAATTATACATTTTGAGTACATATGCCACTCAAGGTCAATGCATTTCTGAATTTTAAATCTTAAATGTCATTGGTATAATCCACACATCATATAAGCTAATTAATCTTGTGGTTAATTCAAATTAATTAATCTACCAAAATATAGGGAAATGGTTTAGAAACTTCAGATTTGGCACGTTTTCTGTGTTGAAAAGTGACTTTCACACTTGGACAAACTTTTAAGCAGATAAGATTATATATATATATAAAAAGTTCTTCAAATAGATGTTTGTTTTTTTTTAGCATGCTAATATAGTTATTTTTTAGTTAAGGGCCAAATAGAATCAGATTTTAACCCACTTTAACCTCTTTGTCCTGACAGACTAGACTGTCATTGCAATAATCCAACAAATTTATGAAGTTATGTTTCATATCTCTTCATCTAGTATTATAGACATATACGATCATTTTTTTAATTAGATGTCCTTCCTAAAACCATTGCCATGTACTTCCTCCATACTAAATTATAGATGTATTTCTTAAAAAATGTACTTAATGTGAAATTATTTGCAGAGAGATTGCATTAAGTTTTAAAGTAACTACAGCTTAACTGTTTCAGCTTGTAAATTCTCAGCTGTATCTGATACTAGTCTTGAATACTGAAGAAAGAGGGAATTTAGAATTCTGATGTCTTAAAATTCTTGGACAAAGATACATTTTACTGTTCAGTGATATTCAGGGATTTTAGCAGACCACCCGAAAGTTCAAAAATAGGGTCAATTTGTATCTCTGTGCAATTACTTGCACAATTACCGAGGCACTTTTGAAAGAGCCTTGTAAAATTTAATAGATTTTGTCAGTTTATCCCCTTTCTGAGTGCTGAGGAGCAAAAGTATAATGCCAAGTTATTGCCAGATCTTATGGTTTGCTATAGAATCTTTTTTCTTTTTCTTAGTTTCTCCAATTATTTTACACTTTTTATGAGATTATTGTGAATCCTCTGGTGAAGATGTGGATCTGCTGCTGTGGCACAGAATGGAGTCGACTCAAAGAGCTCTTAGATTTTCCTACAAAACTATTTTTACAAATACTTACCAAACAGGCTCCCTAAGTCTTCAAGAATACTGAACCTGAAAGCAAACCTTTCCTCTGACTGATTGCCTAGCAAGTATCTTCAATAGCTTTGCATTTAAACAGCATCCAGGCCGCCAAGGACATGGAAGTGTTTGGCAATCAGCAAGGCTCACAACTGTCAGGTAAGTGTTAATGTGCAATTCGGAGAAGAAGGATCCAAGGCCCTGAATGAATCATCCTGACCAGAGAAAATCAGCAGAAATGTGTTAATTCAAAGGTTCTTTTAAATTTGTTTATGGGGTTTATTCCCTGTTAATATTTACTCCCAGCTGATTTGAAGTCATATAGGTGTTTCATTATGGATAAAGAAAACATGAATTTTGACCTTGTGACTGTGACAGGTCAGTGGGAGATCATGGATAGTGGGATTTGGCCTTTAACCTGGAGGCCATCAATCCTGTTTTTCTTCTCATCATCCCTTAACTTTTTGGGGGTACACATTTACTTAAGTACACACAAAATCTCAGCATGTCCCTGACCCGGGTCTGGGGGTTACATCCCTGCTTATGCATGTTAACAGGAGCCCAACCAGAGGCTGTGTACAAATT